AATGTCCTTTTCTTTGCCTGATCTAATATAAACAGGTTCTTTTTATAAGGCAGTGAGGGAAAGTTCAGAATTCAGAACACAGAGCCAGCCATCAAGCAGTGGGATTTCCAACAAATTTTTACTGCTCAAGATATTGTTGAATAATAATCAGCTGTTACCCAAATTCATTTCTCCACTCTCTGCTTATACAGTACTTTCCCTCTTTGACTGTTTCGAAAGTCCCAGCAGAATCCCAGACCTTTCTCTGTTCTCCCTTCCTTCTCATTTTTCTCCTTTCCCAGCCATCCTGGGAAGAAACACAGGTTATTTTTACATAAATTTCCTGTTCATAATCAATGTGTACTTTTCTACTAACACAGTAGTGAGTGCCTTCTTTATTTTTATTTTTTAAATTAAATTTATTGGGATGACATTGGTTAATAAGATCATGTAGGTTCCAAGTGTACATTTCTATGATACATGATCTATATATTGCATCGTGTGCCCACCACCCAAAGTAAAATCATCTTCCATCACCATATATTCGGCCTCCTTTGCCCTTTGCTACCCTGCCACCCTCCTTCTCTCTGGTAACCACCATACTGTTTTCTGTCTTTATGAGTTTCAGTTTTATAAGCCACATATGAGTGAAATCATATGGTTCTTAGCTCTTTCTGACTTATTTTACTTAGCATGATATTCTCAAGGTCCATCCACGTTGTTGCAAGTGGCATTATTTCATCTTTTTTATGGCTGAATAGTATTCCACTGTATATATGTATCATATCCTCTTTATCCAATCATCTATCAAAGGACGCTTCAGTTGTTTCCATGCCTTGGCCACTGTGAATAATGCTGCAATGAACAGAGGGGTGCATTATAAATAAATATTTTCAAATTTTTGGGTTAGATACCCAAAAGAGAGTTGCTGGGTCATATGGTAGCTTTATACTTAATCTTTTGAGGCACCTCCATACTGTTTTTCATAGTGGCTATACAAGTTAACTTTTCTACCAGCTGTGAATGAGGTTGCCTTTATCAGTGAATGCCTTCTTGTTTTAGACCTTTGTTGTTCAATATGGCAGCCATTACCAATAAGGCCATTAAGCACTTGAAATGTGGCTAGTCTGATTGAGGTATGCTGTAAGTATCAAATAAACACCAAATTTTGAATACAGTACAAAAAGGAATGTGAAATATCAATAATGTTTTGCATTGATTACATGTTGAAATATTTTATTAATTTTATCTATTCATTTTTACTTTTCTAATGAGGCTGTTAGAAAACATAAATTGCATCTGTGGTTTCTATTATGTGGCTTCTATTTATTAGTCTATTTGACAGGACTAATTTAGATCCTAGATGATTAACAGTGATTATTAAACCCAATTACAACTTTATTCTCATCCAAGGCACAAAGAAGTGAGACTTCTCATAGAAATATTACAAAGTAAATAGATTATAAAAATTCCAATGATAAAGAGTAGTGTGTAAAGACTGAATAATATCACTGCATTCTCTTGAGTTTTAACATAAAATATATTGTAAGAACGGAATGCCTGAGCTTTGGGTACTGTGCTCTTCTAGTGACAGTGTGTCAAGTGTATCTTTCCTAAAGTAAGCATTTTTGTATGGTTTTTATTATTTATTATTTATTTATTTTTGTCATGAAGATATTTGCCTGCTAGTGAGAAATATCACAGGTTTCCTAAGCACATTCTACTGAATTCTTTCTTATCTATTAGGAAAAAATGTACAGTATATTCTCTAAGGCAGGAGAGAGTCTTAAATCTGGCCATTATCCAAGGCAAAATAAATATGAGCTGGTGTTGTTTAAAGGCTTACCAGCCCAGAACAAGTAGAATGATGACAAGTACCCTAGGCTGACAGACAAAGGGGCATTTATACTAGTAGCTTAGAGATCACCATTTATCTTATTTAAACTAGTTGCTGTTGAACAGAATTACTTTGTTGCTAGCTTTAATTTCCAACTTTATGACTTCTTCATCTGTGTTAACTCTCTATACAGTACCCAGAATAAAATTTCCCATTTTAGAATAATCCAGAATATACTAAGGTAGGTGTCAATTCACCTCATCCAAGTAGGTCTAGGTCTAAGAATTGTACCCCTGCCTCTCACAAGTTTTGATCCTAAAATTATATATGTTGTTTGAGGTTGTAAGTGTAGAAGAGTCTATGACATCATTCAACTATTTCTGAAGTTTAAGTGTGCATGATAGGCAAGGCAGAAGTCATTTCAGATTCAGATTGTGAGTCAATTTATTACTTTGGTTGTTTACTTTTATTGTTAAATATGTATGAATATTAAATACATACTATATGTATATGTTCAGTTTAACATTAATAGTAAAACAAACAAAAGGGTACCTCTCTGCCAATTAAGAAATAGAACATTACCTCTCCGACTGGGTGGTTCAGTTGGTTGGAGCACTGCCCCATGCACCAAAAGGATTCGGGTTCAACTCCTATTTATAGCACATACCTAGGTTCTAGGTTGCAGGTTTGATCATCAGTCAGGTATGTACAGGAGGCAGCCAATTGATGTTTCTTTCTCACATCAATATTTCTCTTTCCCTCCCTTCCTCTCTCTGTAAAACTCAATTAAACAAATACCCTTGGGTGAGGATTAAAAAATGAAAAGAAAAAAAAAGAAAAAAAGGAACATTACCAGCTTGATAGAGTATTGCATGCTCTTCAGTCCTATTCTCCCCCACCCAAAATAATGACTATTCTAAGTTTTAGGTATTTCATTATCGTATTGTTTAGTTTTGCCTAGTTGTACATTACATTAATGAATTTTATAAGACTTTCCTCTCTCAGTTTTTTACTATAAACATTTTTCTATAAACTTGTTTCGAATAACAATTGAGAAAACTCAAGAAGAGATGGAAAGTCTATGATATTTACCCATATTCATTCTTCTATGCTCATTCTTCTTAATGTTCCAAGTTCCCCTCTTTTATCATTTCTTTTCTGTCCAATAATTTACTTTACTCATTCTTTTAGGGTAGGTCTGCTGACCACAAATTCTCTCTGTTTTCCCTCATCTGAGAATGTCTTTATTTATCTTCATTTCCTGAAGTACAATTTCACTAGATATAGAATTCAGGATTGATAGATCTTTTCTGTCAATGCTTGAAAATTGTTTCCTCTGGGTCCATGGTTTCTGATGAGAAATCAACTGTTATTTGAATTCTATTTCCCACTGTGGGCAAGGTTATTATCTGTTACTACTTTTAAGATTTGTTCTTTGTCTCAACTTTCTAAAGTGTAATTATGATATTCCTTGGTGTAGATTTCTTTGAGTTTATCTTGTTTAATTTTTGCATAGATTCTTGTACATGGAGATTTGTGTCTTTTACCAAATTTTAAAAGTATCCAGCCATTATTTCTAAAAATATTTTATCATTCACACCCTCTTTCTTCTCTTCTGGAGCTCCAATGACAAGACAGAAGTTTTGTTGTAGTCCCAAAGTCTTTAAAGCTCTGTTTATTTATTTTGCTTTTGTTTTTTTTTTTTTTCAGTCTGTTTCCTCTGCACTCTTAAGAGTGGGTAATTTTTACTTTCTATCTTAACTTCACTAATTCTTTCCTCTGTAGTCTCCAGTCTATGCTAAAGTCATCCAGTGAATTTTTATTTTGGTAATGTATTTTTCAGTTCTAAAATGTCCATTTGGTTCTTTTTTATATCTTCTATTTCTTTGCTGAGACTTTATATATTTTTTTTTATTGGTTTCAATTTCTCACTGAAGCTTTTTATGACAGCTTCCTTAAAATCTTCATGATTCCAACATCTCTCTATGTCATCTTGTAGCTGTCTATTATCTTTTCTTATTCAGTTTGAGATTTTCTTGTTCTTGGTTTGACATTGTGGTTATTATCTTATGAGACTGGTGAGAAGTCTCCTACAGCACATCCAGTGGCATTGTGGGTAGCTATGAAAGTTTCAGCTTCCAACTTGATCATCTCTGAGACCACCCTGGTGTGTGGGGGAAGAGTGATATCTTGTTATAGGGGTTTTCCACTCAGCAGGGTGGAAGTCTAGGCTCCCTACTCTACCTTTGCTGAGGGGGTTGGAATGGGGTTGTGCTTTTTCCTGTGGTGTTTGGCTGGTAGGGAAATTGTGAAAGTCTACTGTCTTGTTTGATTGCCCCTGTTTTGGTCCTTTGGTCAGGGAAAGGAGGCTTTCCTTGGGATTATTAGTTTTTTGTCTGCTCCTGTTGGTGTTTTCAAGTCATTGGCTTCTCTAGCATCCTGCTATGAGGCAAAAAGAAAACTCAAGAAGCTTACTGCCATTTTGTTAATTTAAAGTGGTAAAAACTAGAGGCTGCATGATTACAAACGTGGCAATAATACTAGGATATAAAAGAAGATTTTTTTGAAGAGTCTATATTTGAACAGGAATTGCATGGCATTTTCTGCATGCATTAGCTGTCCAGTAAGGGCATATCCAACAATTATGTTTTAAAAAGTCACAGTGTTTGCTACAATTTTTGCAAATATATGCATTTTGCCTGTTTGGACAGTATGAAAATACAATAGGTGGAAATTTGTTTGCTATGAGTAACTTGAGCATTTTTATCTTTGTTCCTCCTCCTCATAGTAACTAGAAATTACTTCAAAAATCGTTGGCCTAAGTAAATCTACAAATACAAGCCTCACTCAGCACCACCCTAAATCTGAGAATGGAAACTTACACAGCTTTTCCTTCCTTAACTATAAACTGAATGTGTGTCCACATTGACAGTCTTCTCTAAATCCTCACCTACCCACTGGCTTAATGCCAACTCACTTCCAGAGGTAGCAGAGAGCCCTCACCCTGCTTTTTCCTTCTGGCTCGCTGGGGAGCTCTGTCCCTCTTGGCTGCCCCCTGGCCTCCCCCTCCAGTTCTGCGCAACTCCTGGCTGAGCGACCCAGACCCCGCGCGAGCTGCACCTTTACTGGCCTCAACGCCTCAACTGCTGTTATTCGGCCAGCAGGGCTCCCGGAGAACGGAGCCATGTTCTTTCTTCTGGTCCTTCTCACCGGACTTGGTGGTCTGCAGGCAGGCCTCAGTAAGTCCAGATACGTGTTCCTAACCCTACCAAGGCTTTTGAGGGGACTTTCTTTGCTTGGGGTGGGGACGGTTGTATTTTTTTTTTTTTTTTGGTCAGAGGATCTAGGCCCAGACCTTACCCAGGTCCCTCGCTTGCCCCGCCCATTTTCTCCTTGCCCTTTGCTTCAGCATCTGTGGCAAAAAAGACAAAGAGCCTATCTCTGGGCAGAAAACCTTTTGCTTCTCTGGAAAAGTTTCCTTGTCTGTAAAATGAACCAAAATGAACCATGTGGTTTTTTTCCACATTCAAAATTATGCTGTTGTAGAAATAATTTCATCACCATAAAGAAGTTCTTTAATCTATGATTTTTCCGATTGATTGATGTTCTCGATCTTCTCTACTGAAAACTGCAGATCATCCTGGTATTCAATATATCTTCTTTTCCCTGCAAATGATCCCTCTTTCTTGATATATCTGTTTTCCCATTTCCATACTTCTTTTAAAACACTATGTTTGTTACTCAGTGTTGCTTAATCAAACTCTCATAATGCCTAGCTAGGTGTGTGTAGAGCTAGATAAAGAGAAAATAAAGACTTGAGATCTTGGCAAGGGTTAAGAAATCTGTAGGTAAGAATGACCAGAAGGACATTGGAAAGGAAAGGAAATGCATAGAATAGACCAAAAATGTAGACAAACAAATGCCAAATTGGATTTAGAAATGGATAATGTAATATTACAAGTACCAAAATAACTTTGCTTATTTCTCTTTTAGATCCTCATAAAACCTTTATACAGACCACAGTTCCTGAAAAGATTTCATCTTCTGACACAGAAAGAGATCCAGAAAATAATGTAATGGGAAATAATATTTTTATATCTTAAACTGTGAGTCTTTAATGGGAGACCAACATTGATGAACGTAGGCAGGAACTCAGTTCTTGGAGGCAGAGCTGACAGCTCAGACCAATTTCACAACAAGAAGCATTTTAATATGTATGAATGTGTGAGACTCCATGTGCGTGTGTGTTTCTGTTGAGGATGAAGGATTTTAGGGATAGGAGCCACCAGGGCCAGGACTAGGGAGAGGCAAGCAAAGTGCTTGACTTAGGCACATCATTTAAGGGGGTAGCAAAAAGCTGGGATTCCCTCAAGACCAAGATTAGGGTAAAGCGAGTGAGGGTCAGATCTTGTCTTTCTTTAAAATTTTGATTATCATAGACTTTTTGCATTAATTTTTATTATTTGATATATTGTATTCAAATAGTATTTATCTTGATTACTGAGTTTTCTGCCCTCCTAGTCTTGGCCCTGATGATTCCCCTAGCTGCAGTAGTCTCCGCCCCCCCACCCCATCTATGGTTTTGCTTTCTGCAGTTTCAGTTATCAACTGTCAACCATGGTCTATAAATAGTAAATGGAAAATTCCAGAAATAAACAATCATAAGTTTTAAATTGCATGCTGTTCTGAATAGTATGGTGAAATCTCACACTGTCCAGCTCTGTCCCACCAGGGACATGAATTATTCCTTTGTCCAGTGTATCCACCTTACTTCATCTCATCACATATGTATTGTATTATTTCACATCATCACTGTAAGGAGGGTGGGTATAGTTCCAATAAGATATTTTGAGAGAAAGAGAGAGAGAGAGAGACCCAAGTCTCATAACTTTTATTACAGGATATTGTTATAATTGTTGTATTGTATTATTAGTTTTTTGTTAATCTCTTACTATGCCTAATTTATAATTTCAACTTTATCATACTTATGTACATATAGGAAAAAACATAGTATAATGGTATAAATAGGGTTTGTTATATCCATGCTTTCAGGTATCCACTGGGGTGGGTGTCTTAGAACATATCCCCCATGGATAAGGGGAGACTAAAGTACTTGCCTCACCTTTCAATGAGTTAGTGAGGAACTTAAAGGTGATCTGGTGTCCGGCCGGTGTGGCTCAGTGTTTGAGTATCAACCTGTGCACCAAGAGGTTGCTGGTTGGATTTCCAGTCAAGACACATGCCCAGGTTGTGGGCCTGATCCCCAGTAGGGGGCATGCTGGAGGGGCCAATCGATGTTCTCTCTCATTGATGTTTCTATCTCTCTCCCTCTCACTTCCTCTTTCTGTGAAATCAATAAAGGAAAAAAAATTTTAAAAAAAAGGTGATCTGGTAATTAGCACATAGACTTTACAGTTGGAACCTAGATATTAGTGCACATTCCTCTAATTCCCCAAGAAATTCTACTTCTCACACATTTGTTTCTAATATATGATAAGTTAATGCTAGTCATAATTGTGGTCTTGACATTTATTTTTTCCTTTTAGTGGTTTTAAAAAACCTTTCCTCTCTGGAAAAATATCTTCCAAGCAAACATAAAGGAAAAAAAAAGCTGGGGTAGCAATACTCATATCTGATAAAAATAGATTTCAAAATGAAGGCCATACTAGAGACAAAAATGGGCACTACATAATATTGAAAGGATCTATCCAACAGGAAGATATAACCTTGGTAGACATATATGCACCCAATACAGGAGCACCAAAATATATTAAAAATCTTCTAGAGGACTTCAAAGGAGAAATCGATAGCAATACAATCATAGCAGGGCACTTCAACACCCTTTTGGATAGATCCTCTGGACAAAAAATTAGCAAGTAAACAGAGACTCTAAATGAAGCACTAGACTAAATGGATTTAGTAGAAATCTATAGAGAATTATACCCCAAAACTAGAGAATTCACATTCTTCTCGAGTGCACATGGCACATTCTCAAAGATAGACCACATGTTAGGGCACAAACTAAGTCTCTATAAGTTCAAGAAGACTGGAATCATATCAAGCATCATCTCAGATCACAATGGCATGAAACTAAAAATCAATTGCAACAAGAACATGCAAAGACATTTGAACAAATGGAGGCTAAATAGCATGTTATTAAACAAAGAATGAGTAACCGAGGAGATCAAGGAAGAAATTAAAAATTTCCTAGAAACCAGTGAAAATGAACACACAACACAAAATCTATGGGGTGCAGCGAAAGCCGGGAATGGGGGGGGGAGAGATGGGGAGGAGGTTGTCAGTGGGAAAGAAAAGGAGAAACATCTGTAACTAAAATAAATTAATAAAAAAATATAAATAAAAATAAATAAAAAATCCTTCCCTCTGGGTTTCACATAAGAATACTGTTTGTACCAGGGGTTCCCCTTTCCCATCACTTTCAGGTCTCTGAAGTTAGCCTCATGTCGTCTCTATATATTCTTTCTCTGCCTTTTCTTCTTTTAGTATCTGGGTTTTATTTGCAACCTCACTCCATAAGCAAATTTTCTGTCATGCTGTGGTGTATGATTGGAACAAAGGGTCTTAATTTGATTTTTTTGTTAAATTTTTTCCCCCTGAAATTCACACCAATCCATCCTCCCTATTATTTATCACTAAGAAATCTTTGAATTCCCCACTTGTCTAATCTCTAGCATTCAAAAAAAGGCATTTAAATTTATTGAGGTGACATTGGTTAATACGATTATATAGGTTTCAAGTGTACATTTCTATGATACATAATCTGTATATTGCATTGTGTGACCACCACACAACGTCAAATCATCTTCCTACCTGGTAGTAAAAATCTTCTAAATTCTTTTCATTCTTTAAGATCATCTTGACTATTATTGTTCTTTGCATTTCCATATAGAAATTAGAAGCATTTGTCAATTCTTGCTAACAATACTTCATATGTCTCCCTCCTAATAACCTCAGATCAGTTTGGAGTATGTTTCTCCCCATTAGGGTTTTGTGTAATAAGGGACACTAAGTTCTGCATACAGGCTTGAGGTACCCCAATGAGGTGTTTCAAGTTGAAGTCTCATAGCCTTGTTTGAGTAGAAAGTCTTTGATTCTTAGACTTAAGAACTTGCTTGATTCCTTTAGAGATTTTGAAATTCTAAGGAAAAATAATACTATTGTAGTTTCCATGATGATATAAAACACAAATGATTATATAAGAAGTTATTCATTTTCAAGTAAAACTGTGTTTAATCAAAAGAATAATAATTCTGGAAAACCTTTTGCACTCTACAATTCTATTAATTTTGTGATTCCACTTATTTTTGAAGGGTGATATGGATGGAACTTTCTGATTATATCTGGATATTTTAGAAATATATGATGCTTGCAATTATGCAAATATATATTTTATGTATTATGTATATAAATATTTATATATGTGTGTGTATATATAAATATATGTTGAAATTTATACCATACACAAGAATGAATTCAAAATGGATAAAAGACTTAAATGTAACTTATGAAACAAAAAATCCTAGAAGAAAATGTAGACAGAAATCTCAGACATCATATGTAGTGGGATATTCACTGATACATCGCAATAGAAACACAGGAAAAAATTAATAAATTGGATTACATCAAACTGAAAAGCTTCTGCACAGTAAAAGAAATCAGCATCAAAATGAAAAGGGAACCCACTCTCTTAAAGAACATATTTTCCAATGATACATCGAATAAGGGTTAATATCCAAAATATATAGAGGACTCATACAACTCAACAAAAAGAAGACAAACAATCACAATGGAATACTATGCAGCTGTAAGAAAGAAAGATCTCTTGTCCTTTGAGATGACATGGAGGGACGTGGAGAGTATTATGCTAAGCAAAACAAGCCAAGCAGAGAAAGACAAATATCACATGAACTAACTTATTTGTGGAATGTAATGAACTAAACAAAATGATGAACAAAATTAACCCAGAGACATAGAGATAGGGTACAGACTGACAACTCTCAGAAGAGGGGGTGTTGGGGGGAGGAAGAGATAAACCACAGAACTTATATGCATGTATGCATAACCAGTGGACATAGACAACAAAGCTGGGGATGGGGCAGGGGGGATGGGGAGGAGGGCACCAATGGGAGAAAAAGGAGGAACATCTGTAACAAAAACAAATTAATAAAACTAATTTAAAAAAAAAAAGAGTCTGCAGAGGACCTGAATAGACACTCTCCAAACAAGACATACAAATGACCAGGAGACATATGAAAAAGATGCCAACATCACTAATTATCACAGAGATGCAAATTAAAACAACTATGAGATATCACCTCATACCTGCCACAATGGCTGTCTTCAACAAATCCTCAAACAAGTGCTGGTGAGGATGTGGAGAAAAGGTGACTCTAGTGCAGACTGGTGCAGCCACTGTGGAAAACAATATGGTTCTTCCTTAAAAAATTAAAAATGGAACTGCCATTTGACCCAGTGATCTCACTTCTAGGAATATATCCTAAGAAGCCTAAAACACCAATCAGGAAGAATATACACACCTCTATGTTCATAGCAGCACTATTTACAATAGCTGAGATCTGGAAACAGTCTAAGGGTCCATAAGAGATGAGTGGATAAAAAAGCCGTGGTACATTTACACAATGGAATACTATGCAACTGTAAGAAAGAAAGATCTCTTACCCTTTGAGATGACATGGAGGAACTTGGAGAGTATTATGCTGAGTGAAACAAGCCAATCAGAGAAAGACAAGTACCACATGATCTCATTTATTTATGGAATAAGCTGTTGATTAAAATAGATCCAGAGTCGTGGAAGTTGGGAATAAACTATCAAACTTCAGAGGTATGGGAGGAGGTGAGAGGATGAGTGGGAAGAGATAAACTAAATAACTTATATGCACATATACAGAACCAATGGACACAGACATTAGGTTGGGGAAAGCAGGAGGGGGATGGTGGGAACATCTCTTAACTGTAAAAAATGCCACTGACAATACAGAACATTGATAAAAAATTTTATTCCCTTTTTCTCTAACAATGCACAGAATGTTTC